TCTCTCTCTCTCTCTCCCTTTTCGAAGCCTACAAGATGGACTCATTCGATCCCAATTACATTCGAGTTTGAATTAGAATTTCTTAACATTTTATTTCATTGAAAAGGATGTGACCAAAATTTTTCATTAGAAAATCCGTCCAAACTGTCGGTTAATGAGCAGAACACAACAAGAACCTGACCACTTTATAATCACCATTAACTTGGCTCGTGTGTTCCCCCCCTCTGCTTCGCAGTAATTAGTTATTAAACCATAAATTAAGCAGCCAAAAAGAAAAGAGAAAAAGCATTAAAAACATAGCATGAACTCGGCAGGCACCCCAGAGCAGAAGAAGGCCACCGTATCTTATTATCATCAGCCACTGGTAACGAGTTCCCAGGTAAAAGAAGTAAAGTCTTCGACTGCTACGCCGTCGTCTAGGCAATTTTGTTGTAGATTTAATGATTGTTTCCGTATGGGGTCCGTTGTCTCTACGAACCGACAGCAGCAACAAGAAGAAGGAAAGCAGCAGCGTTTGGAGCGGCCAACCTCCAAATTAGAAGAGCAGGTAGTTAAATTTTGGACCACAATTATTTGTTAGGTGAATATGTTATAGTAATCTTCATCCGTCAAAGGCAGGCATGTGTTATTGTTAGGCCCAGTTTTAGAAAATTTTTGGTCCCTACTGTCATTTGACCTTAATTAATTTTGGTCACCTAAAACAAGAAAATGATATTGATGTTTTCTTTATTTTTTTTTAATTTTAAATGAAAAACCATTTTCATCATGCTAAAATGATTACTCCTTCAAAAGGCCAAAGAAGAAATGTTTATGTTTGTGAATCATTAGTCCTTCGATTTTAACCTTTTTTTTAATCTTAATCATTGTAAATAGACCTCTAAAAATCCAAAAGAAGAATGTCGAAGTTTTTATTTTTTGCTTTTTAACTTTTAATTTTTATAGCATATGTTTGGATGTAGAAGCCCAAGGTTTTCAGGTCGGCCATCGCTATCATCGAAGTGGACTGAGCTCGTTTAGTATGTACTACACTATACATGGCCGAATCTGAATATGTGGTCCATTGATCCTTTAAGGGGCAAAATTTCTTTACACTTCTCCAGTCTGGCAAACACTGTTTTTAATTCATCATTAAAACTATAAACAGATAAGTAATTGGTTTCTTGAATGTTAATTTCAAGCAAGCTCGACCTCGTAGTATATATATAGCAAGTGGGCCATAAAAACCAGGAAAACAATGGGCCTTCAAACTTGGGTCAGTGGTTTCTGATAATATTGAAGATTACGTGGATTTTGGGCTTTGGTTGAAGGTGACAGACCTTGAAAAGGAAGTCCAGAAACAGAAAGAAATGCATACCATGTACAAAAAGAGAATGGAGAGCACACAAGACTATTTAAGGTACTGTCTTCGAGTGGCTCAAGAGAATGGGTTCCTGGACCTTATAGTTAACAACAAATATCCTATTTCCCCCGATGCCATCAATGGCAATGTCAGTCCTCGGGTGCCTGCCTTTGTCTCTCTGCAATCTGATCTAGGCAGAGTCATCAACCAAGCCAAGATGAATGGATGGTACATTGACCCGGCGGAGGTAATAGTGTCTCTTCGCTCTTTCATTTCTTATAGCATTAGAACATGACTATGCAGTCATAAGTTCACTGATCTTAAAATAATTAATCGAAGCAGATTAAATTGCAAGAAATTATAGGCCAAGGAAGCACTGCAAACATTTACAGAGGAATTTGGAGAGGCCTTGATGTTGCGGTGAAGTGTATACACCCCGATTTCTTCCACAAAAATGAAAATGGTGTTACATTTTTTGCTCAAGAAGTTGAAACGTTAGCTAGGCAGCGCCACCGCTTTATACTCCAGCTAATGGGTGCATGCCTCGACCCACCTACACATGGGTGGGTGGTGACAGAGTTCTTGAGCATGACACTGAAGGATTGGCTACATGGGCCTGGAAACAGGCGACGAGAGAGGACGAAGCCAATTCCTCCATTTCAAGAGAGATTGACTATAGCACTGGAGACTGCACAAGCAATGCAATATCTGCATGAGCAAAAACCGAAAGTCATTCATCGTGATTTGAAGCCTAGCAACATTTTCCTGGACGATGCGAAGCACGTCAGAGTGGCAGATTTTGGTCATGCTCGGTTTTTATCTGAGGAAGAGATGGCACTTACTGGCGAAACAGGCAAGGATTTGTTTTCCCTCCCTTAATTTGCCTGCTCATTTTCCTCGTCGAGTGACGGATTAAGCCATTCCAAGCTCCAAGCAATTAACCTGGTTAAGACATACCGTTAATAGTGACTTGCTTTAACTGTTCTTGTCCTGTCAGGAACTTACGTTTACATGGCACCAGAGGTTATCAGGTGTGAGCCTTACAATGAAAAGTGCGATGTGTACAGCTTTGGAATCATTCTCAATGAACTCATCACCGGCAATCATCCATATGTTGAGACAGATTATGGACCAGCCAAGGTATTCAACCGGTTCCTCATTCAAATATAAAATTTGCCACGTTAATATGAAAAGCAGCACATTAGACTTTTTTTTTTTTTTCCGTTCAATACGTTTAACCCTCTTTATTCGACTAAAACCTCCCCACATACGAAATTATATTTGAATTTAAAGACATGGTATTTAAACTTTTGATTAGATTTGAAAATTTGGATAGAAAATCAGATATTCATGTGACTGACATATTTATAATCCTGTCGTGGGTTAGGTTGCCTTGGAGGTTGGGGAAGGAAAGCTAAGGCCAGCACTTCCAGAAGACAATGGCAAACTGGGGGAGCTGATAGACCTCATTTGCCTATCATGGGATGGAGATGCTTCTGTTAGACCACCCTTTGCAAAAATCACATCTACTTTACGAGAGATCCAAAATAGAATTAAAGAAACTGTTTAATAAGTGTCTCTATATATATATATCATGCTCCATACAGGCAGACAGCATCCGATTAGATAAGCCAGCCATAGTTTGTTATCAGTAATTTCTATATGTACTTGTCAAAGCCGTAGTAAATATATTTGAACATCTTAAATACTAACAATGTTTCCGATTTCCAAGTAACAATGCTCAATGGAGTCCTAATTTGTCTTTGGGGTATTTTCTTCCTCGGCATTCAATAAGTGCACATAATTGATTTCGTACAAAATATGATGGGGGTTATTCCTAGGTGGAGATATTATGAGGGAGGCCGGGCCTGCGTTGGATTTGCAAAACTATGATGTAAAAGCAGATGCTTCACTTTCTTACATGCTATGAAATAAAGATTGAAACATCCTGTGGTGTTCAAGTAAAGATAGAGCAGACCATATCGTACAAACAAATCACTCCTCATTGCCCCTCTCTCTCGTAGTACTACCATTTTCAAATTCTTTTAGGTGGCAGTGTGGTGTGGTGGGGGAAAGGATGGAAAGGATGGTGGCTTTTTGTCCCTCCAGCTTGTGCTGTACGAGCTAGCTAATGCATTCTGCAAACCGATATCCGTTGGCAAGTGCCGACTGCTGAGTGCCCAACCATGATTGCATGCATCAACTTATACAACTTTTTAGTATTACAAGTTTAATCAAGGCAGGCACTATCCATATTACCTCAAAAATTGGCATAAATACATATACATTACATACGGATTTGGGTTTGTTCAATTAAACGAGCTTAAAGAAGGACAAAACCCTCCTTTCATGACTAAAAGTTGAGACAGAAAATGTCAATATCACATGCAACTGGGTTATTTGGCAGCTGTAAATCTGTTTTGTTTTATTTCGAAACATAATGGATGGACCTTTCATGGATGTTTTATCAACTTTTGGCAGTCAAAAAAGGGAAATTAATGCAAAAGAAAGGCACCGAGCAAACTCCATGATAGAGGACGACCTGTCCAAAAAGGTCATTTTCGAGCCATGAGATAATCGTAGCAACGTCATACTTCCATCAGTGTGCATGCATTATAAAACCCTGTTCTAGCTACGACCATTGATACAAAAGGATAAACCCCTCAACACATTGATTTTTTTCCATATATTTTCCCTGGAAATGACGTAAAGCTGAGCTTTTGCAATCAATAGGAGATCCCCCACTCATTGCATAATAGCTATAAAAAACCAAAAAAAAGAAGGATTTGCTGGATTATAAAGTTATTTTAATTTCTTCCACAGGTTGTCTGAAAAAAGATTGATGCAGCCCAAAGCAATAAAGATTGATGTAGGCCAAAGTAGTAGAAATTGCATTGCGAAGTCACGTCAAATTGCAAATTTCAATGCTTGTTGTAGTCTTTTTGCTGCAAATCAATAGTGAATATATGTAGATAACAATGTGACATAAACCAGCCACCCCTGTCTATGACGGCTATGATTTATCTCAATCACTTTAAAGTTGATAACTTCACAAAAAAAACAAAACAAAACAATTAATGAGAACATATATGATTGGACTGGTTTCTCTTTCAAAATTCCGTTCTTCACTTTCTTCAATAATATATATATATATATATAGAGAGAGAGAGAGAGAGTAATATGATTAGAGCTAATTGGTCATTTATTTGTGAATGCCTCTTAATTTGTAAAGTGCCCTTGTTGTTCTTATCTCAACCTCCTGATTAAGGTTGATAAATGATGACACTAGAACAAAAACTAATGAGATTATATGTATCTTTGGAGTTGTTTTTCTCTTTCCAAATTCCATGTTTCATGCTCTCAATGAGATAAATTTATGTGTTAGAGCTTTATGGTCATTACATAATATGTCTTGTTATTTTTTTCTGAAAAATAACTTAGGATTATCTTTCAGATTATTCTATTTTATGTAGTCATTTTCTTTTTTTTTTTCCATTAATATTGTTATTAAGTTTGTATCTATTATATCATAAAAAAATAATATAATATATAAAAAAGTTTTTAAACTATTTAATAAAATTCAAATAAATTTTTATTTGTTAACATAATACTCAAAAAAAAAGTCCTTAAATTATTTAAAAATTTTAAATAAATTTTTATTCTTTTGTTGTGTTTGATTAAGTTCTGTATTTTTATTTTTAATCAAATAAATTTTTATTATTAATAGTTAACTAATTATCATTAATCAAAATACCTATTATCATTTTATATCCATATGTTTATGTGGAGGGTGAAAAATGTGATATGACCATATTAGTATCTATTATGATATGTCAACATATCATATTAGTGTCACTTAATTTAAAAAAATAAAAATAATATTTTAACTAAGATAATAATTAGTTATAATAATTTATTTAACTCAAAATAAAAGTATATTTAGTTCGAAATAGAAGTATAATGGCTTGATTATACGTAATAAAAATATAATTTTTTTTAAAAATTTTTTTAATTATTTATGAGCCTTTTAAGATCTTATATATTTTTTAGTGCATTCAATCAAGATTTGTATTTTTATTTTAAGTTAAATAAGTCATTATACTTTTAAGGTTAAGTCAAATAAATCATTGTTTGACTAATAGTTAATTTATTTAAAATATAACTTGTCGTTATATGACACGTAATTCTAATGTAGCATATTAACATGTCATAATAGATGTTAATATAACATGTAAATATGATACGATAACATGACTATATGTAACATTTTTCACTCTTCACATTAATATGAGTAAAAAATAATAAGAATATTTTGAATATTAACAATTAATCAATCATAAATTTTAAAAATTTATTTAATTTAAAATAAAAATATAAAAAATTAATTGAACATAATAAAAAATTTATTTAAAATTTATTTAATAATTTAAAAATATTTTCAAATATTATACGAAAAAGAAAATAACATTAAAAGTACCGATATCCAAGCATGGGTAAAAACCTATTAAAGGAGAAAGCTACACCATGTTGAAGAAATTTGACCATGTAAGTTATACAAGATAAGAACCAACTAAGCAGGTTTAATATGGGTTATATTCAAATCAAGTGGACCTCAATTTAGATTAATTTAAGTACGGGTCCTATTCGAGGTTAAATAACTTTGAATGGTTGGTTAGGAAAGTTCACATTCTCCTAAGTTGTTCAGTAAATAAATTAAGAGAAAAAGAAAGAAAAAGACCTTCAATTTTCACTTGTAACTGACTCTCTATTAAGTTAATTAAACCTACCTTCAACAACAATTCACCTAAATATTTGGTCACGTTTGAGTTTAAAATAAGAAAATCACCGTCTCAACTTGGAAATTGAAAATTGAAACCTTCAATTTTCGAACAACCGTTGGTGGCGACATGGGTCGGAGACAGTATCCAACCCGTATCTAACACAAAGGCTTCCACTTTTTCAGAAGCTACAGCTTCCGCTGTGTGCTAAATGTATATGTGCCGGACAATCTCACTCGTCGAAGCTGAACGATCATCATCGGCGTGATTGAATCTGAATGCGGCAGGTGTCGCTGGATTAACCAGACACCATCACCCCTGACGACAGATACCACTCTTTGACAGGTGCAGCAGATTATGGACCGCGTTGCAGAGGAGAGAAGCCCTGTCTATGACTCTTGATTCTCTAAAATCCCAGAAATACCCTTGGCCTTTGGCTGTTTCCTGCCCTGGTCTACGTTCTCCAATAAAGAAACAATTTAGCAAGCCATGGTGTTCCTCGTCCATGAATAAAATAAGAGTTCCAATCTCCCAGTTTAGCTTGCAAGTCATCTTCGTCCTATTAAAGAAACATAAGCTCTCTTCACCTTCAACTACGAGGATATCCATGGTCAAACAAAAAAAAAATGTGAATCTCATTCTTCAGTTCTTTTCTTCAGTCTCTTCTTGACTCTTGAGACAGTTGGCTTCCTCCATTTTCCACTCTGAAACTCCCTTGCATTTTCCCTTTTTTCTTTGGGTCGGCTTAGAATGTTGGTTGGCTTATAATGAAAATGAAAGAGTAACAAGTGCAAGTGTAAACTGTTTCCCATCACTATCTGAACAAAATCTCTCTTAACCTTGCTCTGTTTCCTATTGTCTGTGTCTTGCTTCAGCAGATCTTTTTGTCTTGTTTCGTTCTCTCCTGCATTTGGTTTGGTATCTTTGCACTGCTTAAATAGTGTACTCGAGCTTCTGTTCCTGGGTATATCGTGTTGATAATTACTTTTTCCCGGCAAGCTGTATCTTTTTTAAGGTAAAGGCAAGGATTCTTAGATCTTTTGATGCGAGAAAATGGTTTATGATCTTTGCGAAAGTTGAACAATAGGAATTTTTTTTTCCTTGAGTTAAAAAGTTAAAAGTATAAGTTGATTGTTCGTTTTCTGTAAGGTGGCATTTAATGAAAGTTTCAAAGCTACTTTAACAGTAGCTGGCATGTTCTCATGAAAAGAAATTTTCATTTATTAAATGTAAAGTGTTCTCCTTTGTTCTTAAATATAAATCTGGTCCTGCGTTTCAAATGGAAGCTCACTTCTTGTTGTTTATTCTCTTTTCCCTATTACCAGAGTTTTGATGGAAGCGAATAAAGACACGGCAGAGAGGAGAGGCACTGGAGGAGAAGTGGTGATTAATGTTTCCGGTGACGATACTTTGCAAGGGCAAAAAGGGTCTGCTCCAAAAGAAGCAGAGGCATTGGCCGCTAAGCAAAGTGCTCAAGATGCTGCCGACAAAGCATCAACTGAATCCGGTGCTGTTACTACTGGTTTGGCTAAATCAGTGCCGGTGGGCTGCCCTTCTCCGGAGACATCAAAATTTGACCCAACTGCAAATAAACCACCAAAAGTCCCAAGTCAAGGTAATGAGCCCCTTACTCGAAGAAGGTCATTTGCAAGGTCATTAAACTCAAAACCCAAGTCAAGATTTGGAGAACAATCTTATGTTCTTGAATCTGATCTGATGGAAGAGAATGGTTTAGTTAATCGGGAACAAGGTGGTAGTAATTCACCTTGTAGACATTCCTTCAATAAGGCCTCGCCTAATAACAAGTCGGCCAGAAGTATTAGGACGGATTCTGCTGTGTCCAAAACGTTATCAATTGGCGCTACCGGAGAAAATGAATATGAAGAGATAATCAAGAAAGTTAAACTGCATAAAGAGAAGCTTAAGGGAGTGAAAGCTAAGGTTGTCATTGAGTGCGTCGTATTTTTGTTCCTCTTGGGGTGCTTAATAGCTAGCTTAACTGTAGATAAATTACAGAAAACCTCTGTTTGGAGTTTGAAAATTTGGAAATGGTGTGTACTTGTGATGGTTATTTTCTGTGGTACGTTGGTTACTAATTGGTTTATGCATCTGATTGTTTTCTTGATTGAGCTTAACTTTCTGCTGCGGAAGAAAGTGCTATATTTTGTTCATGGTTTGAAGAAGAGTGTTCAGGTCTTTATTTGGCTGAGTTTAGTTCTTGTTACTTGGGTTCTTTTGTTTCTTGGTGTCGAGAGATCAAAGACTGCCACAAAAATTCTCGATTATGTAACTTGGACTCTAGTAAGCGTTCTCATTGGATCATTTTTGTGGTTGTTGAAGACTCTGTTGTTAAAGATATTGGCTTCCAATTTCCATATGAACAAATTCTTCGATAGAATACAAGAATCAGTCTTCCATCAGTACGTACTTCGGACCCTTTCAGGACCTCCATTCATGGAGATTGACGGGATTCAAAAATCGCCAGCTCATATGACTGTTAGCAGTGCAAAAAAGGGTAAAGGAGCAAAAACAAAAAAGTTGATTGACATGGGAAAGGTTCATAAATTGAAGCGAGAGAAAGTTTCATCTTGGCACATGAAGGTGTTGGTAGATGCTATCATGAATTCGGGGCTTTCCACAATCTCCAACACATTAGATGAAAGTGCTTATGACGAAGGTTGCGAACAAGCAGATAAAGAAATTACCAATGAGGAGGAGGCACAGTATGTTGCTCATCAAATTTTCTCGAATGTTGCCCAACATGAGAGTAATCACAATCGCAGGTGAGAAAATCAGCCTTTTATGATGCTTGTATTGATGTTGTTTTTCCTTCCCTCTAGTTCTTTTTTGGTCTTACCCTAACTATGTGCTCTTCCTGATCAGTTACATTGATGAGGATGACCTATTAAGGTTCATGATTAAGGAGGAGGTGGATCTTGTGTTTCCATTGTTCGAAGGATCAAGCACTGGAAAAATTGACAAAAAAAGTTTCACAAACTGGGTGGTAAGAGCAATGAAACTCCCCTTTAAATCTTGGGCATATAGTAAACACTGTTAGCAATGCAAGTAGGCAACAATGAGAATTAGAAATTTTCACTCCTATTATTTGCTGGAAGCCTATACTGTTTTCTGGCGGATTTTACTAGATAGATTACATACAGAAAGCAAATAAATGTTACATATTTTGGCAGTAATGACTAGAATAAAATATTGACTACTTTTGGCAACTACGTGGAGCAAAGGAATCTGACTTCTATAGTGCTTTTTGTGATGTTGATTTAGAATTGAAAGTAGAAACTACTCGAGTAACAACACAGATTTGTAACAAAGTGCATGCTGTCCGTATGACTTCATGGTTTCAGGTTTTGATCAAATGAATTTGATCCTGACATATTATCTGGCTGTTTAAATAGATGTATTTGTTGTGAGATACACTCTGTCTGTATAATCTTATATTTTTTAGTTTTGATGGAATGAACTTGATCCTGCCATTTTAACTTGCTGTCTTAAACCTGAGGAAGTAAAGCCATCCATAAAGTTAGGGATTCTTGATTAATATGCCTGTTTT